AATATGAATGGAAAATCGGTAGCCTTCTGGAACAAGAAGTAGAAAATTTGCCGATTCATATATACAGTAATGGCTTTGAAACAGTTACTAAGCCTTGTGCTGAGATAGCTTTAACCCAAACTGCTTGTGAAAAATTGATGGAACTAGGCTTAATGCCGTTAATTTCATTTAAAAATATCGATCGGGCAAGACTCGCTAGATTTCAGTCTGTAATAACTCCTACATCTGCCTTAATGAGCAGATGGAATAATAGTTAAATTGATTAACTCGGTATTTTTATTGGCTTTTTCCTGGTTTTTTCTTAAAATATTAGTTTGCCTATAAGCGGAGAATTCCGCCTTTTTCTTTTGGAGTGAATTTAGGTTTATGTTTTTCGATGAAGAATTTGATGTGATCGTAATTGGTGCCGGACATGCTGGATGCGAAGCTGCGTCTGCCGCTGCAAGACTTGGAGCCGAAACGGCGTTAATTACAATAAATCTGGATCTAATTGGTCAAATGTCTTGCAATCCGGCAATTGGCGGGATCGCTAAAGGACACGTAGTTCGCGAAATTGATGCGCTCGGGGGGATTATGGGACGGATTATTGATCGAACTGGCATTCAATTTCGATTGTTAAATCGCTCGAGAGGACCTGCTGTGCAATCACCTCGCGCACAAGCTGATCGCAGTCTTTACCGAGTAGAAATGAGGCGAATATTGGAAGAAACGTCAAATCTTCATTTAAGACAAGGAGCGGTTGTTAGGTTAATTGTTGAAAACAATACTGTTATAGGCGTAGAGTTGCAGGATACACGTTGTCTCAAAGCCAAGTCAGTAGTTATTGCCGCTGGAACTTTCCTAAATGGAATGATTCATACCGGACCACGCACTTTTTCTGCAGGTCGTGCGGGAGAACCTGCCTCAATTGACCTTGCAGAAAATCTTAAATATTTAGGACTTTCTGTTGGTAGATTAAAAACCGGAACGCCGCCGCGTTTGGACGGCAGAACAATTGACTGGCACGCTTTTGAGGCTCAACCACCTGACGATGTAATTGTTCCTTTTTCATTTTCTACAGAAACTATTGAACAGCCGCAAATTCAATGCTATATCGGTTATACTAATGACATACTTCATAAAGAGATAAGAAATAATTTAGATAAATCTCCTTTATACTCAGGAAAAATCAAAGGAATCGGTCCACGATATTGTCCTTCTATCGAGGATAAAGTCGTAAAATTTGCCGATAAAAATAGGCATCAGCTATTTTTGGAGCCGGAAGGTCATAATACGAATGAAGTATATCTAAATGGTTTTTCTACTTCGCTTCCTGCTGAAATGCAGCAAAATCTTTTGAGGAAGATCGATGGGTTTGAAAATGTAAAAATTATTCGTCCCGGTTACGCTATTGAGTATGATTTTGTTGATCCTCGTCAATTGAAGCCAACGATGGAAACAAGTCAAATTAAAG